GCTATATTTCAGCGGTAATCGAAGAAGAAATAAACAAGTTGTACGAATGGACTGTTTCGTGAAATTTGCCACTAAATGTTGATAAAAGTGGATTTATTCACATTAGCCTATGCCCTAACCTAAATCCAGCTATACACAAACATACAACACTGTGACTTGGGTTTAAGATGTAGCGACATTCTGAACTTTTCTGAGCATCTCAATTATACAAAACTAGAAAGCTCATCGGATTGATAATGATAAACTTCAATAATATCGAATCGAAATTATTATTTTACAGAAAATATATCTGACCAATTCTTGAATATGGTATTTTAGTTTACAGTAAATGCAGGCATAATGACCTGGTTAAAATCGAAGGTGTTCAAAGAAGGTTCACCAAAGCTGTCTTGAGGTATTCCGACAACAAGGACTAAAACCGAAGGTGTCAAAATCTCGAACTAGAACCCCTTTGAACCAGATGTATAAAATTAAACCTTGTACTTATCTACCGGCTTATTAACTGTATTTCCTACTCTTCGGTATCTATCCTTCCATAATCTACGATATCATCCCACAGTCCACGCAATAAAGAAAATATTCTAGCTATTCCAAGAACCTACACAAACTTACGAGAGAATTTTCTCGGTATTTGCTACTCAACCATGTGGAACAGACTGCCACTGAACCTCTGTTGTAGTGAAACTACAACCCGGTTCATAAGTCTCCTCGATGATTTTCTTTCCGAAAGTGGGTTGTGTCACCTATTGAATATCAGTATATTTAACAATGATTTGTACAAAAACGTCATACATTTTGATATTTGGTTATCCTTTGCACATAGTTGGAATTTTCATGGCATCACTCCAAACTATGACTGCACAAACACTTATTCTATCGTCATATCTTACTGCATTAACAAGTTATTTTTCTTAGTTATTTTATATTTTGTCTTCGCTACTGATTTGGTGATACATGCATAGTCGTTAATTCTTGTTCTGTGTTCATAAACGCTCATATTAAACTATCTAAGTATTCCACGTCTCCTTTATTTATTTTCTCTTTTATTCTCCCTTTCCTTCTTTAACGTCGATTCGAAATTCTTCTTAATTACACAGAACCTGATTTGTCATTACTATTCTATTTTCGTTATTTTTTTTCATTTTTCATATATGTCGAATGAATGCTAATATTACTGGAACTTGTGTATTATCTCATTTTTGAAGAAACCTCGAAATGGTTTCTTCACAACACTTATGTACCCATAAGATGTTTGTGAATAATAATAATAACTTCAATACAAAACAAGGAAGTGAATGAACACTTGAGCTCTATTGTTTTGACACATACTTAGTTTTTTGAGGTCAACCATTAACTAATCAACACAAGTTGTTACACGTTTCGCAGTTCAATGAAGTTGGTCTGTCAAGTGCTTCGTGATAGACATGCAATTCGATAAGAGCAGTCAATAGAAACTTACTAGGCCGTTAAACGTACGTACCCGCTTGACTGTGGTTGGTCCAGAGTAGTCCAGAATGACCGGAGCTTTGCTTTTCAGACGGTGGATGCCTTGGGCATCAATGGTATGTCCGAGAAAATCTAGGTATTTAGCTCTGGTCTGACATTTCTGAATGTTCACAGTAATTTCGTGCTCTTGGAGTCGTTCAAATGCAAGGCTTAGATGCTGGAGATGAGATTCTCTGTTCAAAGTTGACATATGGGTTTCGTGTGCCTTACTGTGACTAGAGATAATCTACAGGCGGAGAAACAAGTTGCACAAACATATAGTTCAGTATTTCCGTCTACTAACCTCCGCTTGCACATTTTGATGAGATTATGATGTCTTAGTAGGTCTATACCATTGATTGGTATAGAAACATCGGTATCAACGAAGATCCGGTGGATGAGTTTGCGTAAACCCATGTAAGAGTACACATATCGCTTACCGTATTTGGCGGTCGGTTTCTCATTTACCACCTGTAAGTTGAAAACTGGTTTGTACAGTCGATCGTCACGATTTTTAGGAGCAACACTTATTTCCGCGCGTGTCTATCAGATAGCCAACGTTCGTCAACATATCTGCTACTCCTGGGCTAAAGACAGACCTTCTTGTCGAATTCCTTCGCGTTTAGAGGTGTCCACGAATATGATGGATACTAAGATAACGGGTAAGAGTTTGACAGAGGACTGTAACATCGTTTTCTGCTGTTATAAACGTTTGTTTGATTGAAGGAATTCTGGCGATCGAGGTTCTGGTGATCTCTAAAACCCGGTCAGTAGATGCAGCTAGTTCGCAAACAGGGTTGTTTCAAAAGAAGACAAGCACTGATTGTATTAATTGGGGAATTTTAGACAAGAAGAGCCGTCTAGTCAGGCCCTCGTCAAAGATCCAGTAGCCAATGACCTCTCGCATTCGTAGCACTGTGTTTGCCGCTGAGCTATGTTTCACCTCGATGTTGTAGAAAAGTTGGTGTAAACATTTTCGGTCGGTTAGGTCTCGCGCTTGAGAATAGCCTAATTCGAAACGGCGTAAGGTTCCAAAACATCGCTAGTGAGCATACTAAGTATGGCGTACCAGATGGATTCGGTAGATAGTGCCTTCATCACTTCGAGGAACTGTGCACGTGGAAGTCAGAAAGACGTTAGTTGAAGTGCGGAATACGAAAGCATCTTGATCTTAAATAATTTAGGAGTCTATTCGGTCATGATGAATATAAAATATATCATTGAACGAGGAAAAATATCCAAAAATATGAAAAAATCACAATATGTGATATATAAAGTTCCAAAAAGAAATAAACTCACAGTTTATTGTTTACCTTACCAGATCACGTCCATCTCACCACTAAAGATCCCACGAGTCTCCGGAATTTGACAACATCTTAACCAATTACACCTTTTGTAATCAAAACGAGACAACCCAGTATAATCAGAAGCGAAGAGACTCGAAGATATATTTGATAGAATAGAATGGCTGACTATTACATTTCCACAGTTGGGTTCCAATCAGCCGAAAAAGAAAATAATAACTCTCGCCACAAGAATACGAAGAATCTGTAGCCCCGAGATCGTAGAGGAAGAATTGAGCCTTTTAAAAGAGACACTTATCAAAAATGGATATCCTTCTATATTCATTGATAAGAACATGAAACCAAAAACGCCAAAACCACAAACAGTCACAGTAGAGAAAAATTTGTATACATGAACATCGATTTCAAAGGTGATACAGCTGCATGTATATTAAAGAGAAGAATTTCGGATTCTTTAAAAAGAACATTCTTTGCAGCAACATTGGAAATATCATTCTCCAGCCGATCACCGTTCACAAATAATCTGAAAGATAAATTATCGCATCTGACCAACTCAATGTGCATTTACCAATTTACCTGCTCTTGTGGAGCTAAGTATATAGGTCGTTCGATGCGTATTTTGTCCAAAAGAATTCAAGAACATTGTCCGGCGTGGCTAAAAAGAGGAGGCAACCGCTCAATAAGAAGTTCTATAGTCGAACACCTTGTGAACACAGGTCACTCAATCAAGACAGACTCTGCGTTAAAGTCATATGCAAGGTAAGTAGAAGCCTTCCTAAGACAATTAGACTGCATCTTCTTTTCATTGCCCAGGCAATAGCCATACATTTTGAAGAACCAGAATTATGTGTACAAAAGAGACTGGTACAACCTCTTCTTCAAGCATAGTCTTAATGTATTCAAACTTTTTTTTCTATTTCTTCATACCCTTGTTCCCTTACAGCCACCTGCTTCACCTTCCATCTTCCCTTCAAATCTTCTACCCTCAACCGGTTTGTTTTTATTTAAACGATCATTCCGATCACATTTCATCTCTGTTTCAACATTTTATTTTATCATGCTGAGCCATCCTTACCCAATGAATACTTCAGCCATTAACTATCAAACGATTATTAAACTTTCCTTGTTAAAAATGTTTTTTTAATACCTTTGTTTATTTAACCTCACTGTCACCATGTATAACAGAAGTTTATTATCAGTATTATTATCACTTTGCAAAAATAAGTATATATATTTGCGGTTGTACAGCTTTGAAAATGAATTCGCCAAAAAGAGAACTCTTCGCTGAACTAATCTTTCTTTCATATTCGATAGAATATCGACATATCACGAAGTGAATAATCTAAGCTGACTAGCGGTTGTAGGAGAACTGAAATATGGCGTATTCATTCGTGATCTGATGTGGACACGTGACCGAACGTCTTCAACTAGGTGATTCTATTAAAAGTAATTAGGTCAGCATTAGTGAAGATTTACAGAACTATTTATTTAGGGAACTTATTTACCACTACACCTTTGAAGTGAGCTATCATAATGGCACTTTCTTTTTGACCTTTTAAGTGAAGGCTCAATTTTCGATGCACTTTCATCAATATCAAGAGAGAAAACACAATTGACTACTTTTAAACCACTTCTTCAGTCTTCAGTAATAAGGATAGTAGGTTGGTGAACCTGTATTAATCCTGACACATTGCTTTCCAGTGAAGGTTTAGCTTCTCCTTGAAAGTATTCACTGATGGGGTTGATACCACTTGTCAGGGTAAGGCGTTCCAATCGTTGTCTACTCGATGAGAAAAACGGGACCCAACTTAAAGTTTATTAGATCGCGATTTATGAACCTTCTTGCTATGACCTCGGAGATTATTATTGTTGAAGGGAGCAAAAAGACAAGACATATTAACACCCAAATCATAATTAAAGATACGAAATGCTAGTATAAGGTCACCTCGTGTCCCACGATACGGCAAGGGGAAAAGGGTTAGGCGTTTTGAACGTTCATCGTAAGGGAGTCTAGAAAGACCCTTCTCATACAATTAATCAATTTTTTGTATATAAACATTCGGAAAGCAATTATAGTCTTGTTTTTTTTGTCATGGGACTGTAACAAGTAAAGCGTCAACCATTCGTTTCATCATTTATGGTTACCGGAATTGTCTGTTATTAATTTGTTTAGCTACACCAGGAGACATGTACTGGTGTGTGCAGACTTTCGTATTTGGCGAAATTACAAGGATGAGCATAGGCGTTCAAATGGCTCGTCACACGATTTTTATCGTTGCAGTGTTGCTTTGTAAGTCCCTTGAACACATCCGTAATCGATTTTCAACTAAATTCTGTCTTTTTTACGTTTGAGTTATATGGTTATGATGTCAAATGACACATTTTGAAGATCGATAATTTGTATCCCGTGAAACCGTACTATAGTTATCTTTAATTGTTTAATTTTGTTCTGCATTTTGTAAATGTATTAAAGGTCATAGTCATTTTATCCGTGTGATCAAAGAACCTTTTTAATTACTGTTTGTTCATTACATATGTGTATGCATATATACATATTTATGGATGTGTGCACTTATCACAACAATTAAAGAAATGTTCTGGCACTTTCTGATTGTGCCTTTTACGTCGTTGGTGTGTAATAAGCATGGTTGTGTGTTGGAAGGTACATCATTTACACAAGCATACTCGTCTGGTTAATCCACTTCTTTGGCTGTATACTGTCTACCAAGCTCGGCAGACGAAACGGAAGAGCACACGATATTTTATTCGGCCAGATCAGTCAAATTCATACGAAGTCGTTCTGTGTTTTCGCAATCTACAGGCGTGCACATTTTGCAATTCAGCAATGCTTGTGATTGTCAGAAAACATACGATAAATGTTTTCAAGGAAAAGAAGTTGGTGAACAGCTGCTGCATGCGAATTTGAATGGGAACTTTCGTTCTAGTTCATCAGAAAATTCAAATGTCGGCCAGCGTTGTGAAGCTTATTCCAGAGATTTCAGACGTTCACATGCCGATAATGATTACAGCCAGCCTACATATGATCTGCATGGTAGAACAGATAGTGAAGGTTTTTCCGACGATTCTGGTGCATTCACAATGTCAAATCTTCCTTATCTCATCGAGGTGTCGTGGTTTGTATTTTATTGGAAATCCTTACTCAAGCACGACTATTGTTCACTGACTTCACGTACTAATGCCATAACTTAAACCCTAGATCTTTTTCTCACATATAGCTGCTACGTCTAGTTGAACTATTCTGATGTGCATGAGAAAAACAAACTCAATCTCTCTTTATCCAGTAAACATTAAGCCCACATATGTAGTTTAGATCACCTATGATGACATTATACAGTTGTGTCCGAGTTTGAAATTATATCGCTTTTTGCACTTAGTTCTTTCCATGTAGCTCTTCGATTGTAATGAACGGAAGTTAATACTCTTTGTTCTTATTGTTATGAAGATCCTGTGTTCCTCTGAATGTATCAAAATAGGATTAAGATGCTACGTTTTATGATTGAGGACCTTAGTAGTTCACTACACAATGCTAGAAAGTCAACTTCAAAAGTAAACGATTCGATCTTAGTTTTTGAACTGTTAGAAGATGTTCACTTATATAATCGTTCCCATTATGTAAATTTGCGGTACTGTTTAAACTTTGCAATACTTAAAGTAGGTAGTACGTATCTAAAGTTTATACTCACCATTATTTGCTAAGTAGAGTTATGTTAAAACATTTGTTTCAGCTTCTGGGAAGACTGAAGCTTCTGGGATTCGCTTGGCATATACTATTATGGAAAACTTTATGTTTCCTTTTTATGCAAAAGGTAGCTAGATGACGTTGCTTGTAAATAATTTATGGAATAGATGGCTAAGTTGAGTAATAGTCTATTGACAAATTTCATTCCAGTTAAACCCAGACGAGACACTATGTGACAAGACTAAGTTCTTGAAAATAGTTTGGCCAGTCACTATCGGACTATAGATTTTCTCAATAATCTACGTAAGATCTTGTACAAATAATACAATAATAAATCCTTCAATGAGTTATGTGAAACCGATGCTTTGATAGGTATTCCCCTCATAACATTTTTCGCTTACCTTTTTGGTTTAAATTAATTCGCAACTTTCATTTTCCACCTAATAATATTTCATTCTAATCATTTGAACCATTATAGTCTTTTACTAAATAATTCGTTCACAAAGAATACTTGAGCAAATTTTGATAACCTATTCTGTCTTAATCTATCTTTTAGAATGTCTATATATAATTAAGGTTTTAGGTGTATCGAAATGTTTTTTATATGTTTTTTATTTCCACCCGGACTAACCAAATGTTCATTTAATACATTTCAGTGTATTGCGTATTTTTTAGGTGTAAAGAAAAAATGTTCCAATTTATGTCCTAGTTTAATATTGAAAATAGTTTACCAGACTTATGTCATTTTCAATAACACATCTCATATAATTTATGTGGAAAAAACCTCTATTCATCATTTATCATGCAAGATTGACTAACCGCAATTGTGAGTTTGATTCCTGGTTAAAAATGCCCGTTACTCTAGAACAAGTGGGCAGTCACAGGGATATGTTCTATTATTTTTACTCCGTCAGATTTTTTCATGATTGCTTACAATTAGATCTATTGGTAAAGTGTTGAAACTTTATCTATTCTAATTTTGTAATAGTTACTACTGTTTAAAAATATTATGTGTTTTCACATATATGTACATGGATAAGGTTACTAATAAGAGTCCCTTAGAGTGTTCTGAGTTGTGTCTGTATGTTCAACTCGTGAATGAATATCTGAGACTGAATTTGGTCTCAAAGTCTAGTATATGTCTTATGTTATTCCCTGACTGTGCTTACTTGTTTTGATAGTTACGAAGGTCAGTAGTCACCGTATAAATTATCTTTATGGTTTTTTCGCTGCAGTTGACAAACCACAGATCACAAATTAAAATTCTAATTAACTCATAAAATGGGAAAATAAGTACTAAATATGCTTGTTACCTATTTGCTTTTAATAATTCGAGCAAATCAGATAGAGGGCTTAGTTGACCATGAGACCCAGTATGTGGATGGAAATGCTGTAATAATCCAATTAATGAGGTTTTAAGGTTTCATAAAATTGAATGGCTAGTATTTACAAAACATGTACTAAACATTGCGTAAATTAGTTTGCGGTGCTTAGTTGAATATGAACAGGTGGAAGGTGACCAAATAAAAACATGACATCTGTTCACGAAGTATTTCCTTGGTTTTCCGAGATGTATTGACAATCGTGGACCATCATATAAGAAGAAAAAGATGAACTTGTAATCAGAAATGTTTTTGATATGGCTGAAAGTTGCAGTCATGCAGACTTACTCATTTTTTCTACTTCTCCATATTCTGAGGTTTACTCTCATTTCATGCCTGCTCCTCGTTTTAACTGTTTCTTCTAAAGATTTATTCTCCATGTTTTTTCCTAAAATGCCATTAAACGTATGATTCTTTAAACTTTTATTTTTCATTTTGTTTATTTATCGCCTCTGAATTGATTCAAATTGTGGCAATTTAGATAGATGCACAATTTGTATTAAATATTGGTCAATTTATGGCTGACTAGCTTAGATAGTCAAAGTGAAGAAAACTTAACAAATTGTAAGGCTTTCTAACTTTTGGTTCTGGTTTGTTCTAAGCTTTTACGTAGAAAAGATTATATTTCTGGTAGTCATATTGCATACAAATAGTCACTTACACTGGTGCGCCTAATTTCTATGTGTTACCCAACTATCATTGTAATATGGTAGTATTTTCTTGAAGCCCTTAGACGATATAGGATGCATTCGATCTGAGTAACTCACTTTACTTACTATTTACTCTTAGTACTTGAATTTAGTGCTGTCACCATTTTAACTGCATAACTATCGTCCTGTAAATCTCCTTAAATCATCTATTTTTCAATACACATTAAAAAGTAGTAATAATCTTAATTATTTAAGATTGTATAATTATAGACTTATAAACATGCCATATCACTGTATTTTATGCTGGTCTTTGAGTACCATGTAAGAATGATAGATTTTTTTTATCGACTATGAATAGAGATACTGTTGTTGTTATCACATATTGTCAACAATATGTGCTTAAGAATGTTTTCACTGGCTAATAAAATATCTAGAACAAGCGCGTGATGTATATTGTTATATTTGTAGTAATTTGACACATTATTACGTGATTTAATCCAACTAAATCGTTTTATGGATTACAATTTGTATTTAGCAACAGATCATTAGTTTTTTTTCTAGTAAAGATATTTTTGCGTATGTGTAAGTCCATTAACATTAAAATAACAGAATATATCTAGTCAACTGACATAACAATCCGGAAGTCACGTTTGCTATATGCTGATACTGAGAGAATCGTATTCTAACCTGAATCATTGTTGAAGCATACAAAAACTAACCCTACTACAACGAGCATGGTCTTGATGTAATCGATATTGATGAGAACAAAATTAAAATCACATCATGATACATCAGTTATTCTCAAGACATTCTAGTCAAATGTGTAGTTTTTAGAGTCACGTAGTACGTAGTTATCAATCGGTAGTTAAGTGTTATGTGATTGTTATCATAGTGTTCAGAAAATGTAAGGAATATTTTACCTACAAGATGATAAGTTTAAAGAATCTGTTCAGCCCTGTTTCTGTTGATAAGTCTCTATATATTTTTTAAAGCCTTCATTTGTATCCTCTATAAACAATAATTTTGATACGCACGGTTGCTATTTGGATAAACCATTAACTTGGTGATTTTACTGAAATATAGCTTATTGTTTGACACTTTACGTTATTCATTATCTTTCGTATTTAGCTAAGTTTATTAAGGCTCACCAAGTCGCTCATTCTCTCGTCAGTTACTCAAGGTTTATTAATGTCTTAATTTTAGGGAATTCAGAACTATAAAAAAGGATGAGAAGCGAAATAAAAATTAACGTAACATGATTAAGTAGCTAACTGTGAAATAAGTGAAGTCAAGGGGCAATAAAATGGACAGGAAAATAAGATATTTGATGTGTCGTGTTCTCAACAGAGAATTTATCCTGAAGTCATATATTAGCAAGCGGAATTTGTGGATAAGTTATGATTGCACATTCGTTCTTACTTAATTTCGCAGACACTGAAGTAGAACTAATGTCGTCCTGCAATTACAAGTGAATAAGTGTTAAGATAGGGAGATATCAAGTGAATTATACGTCGCCTATCTGCTCTGAAAGTTCCGTCAGGTCTTAAGACGAAACAGTTTATGATCGATTAATGATCAGTGACTATTTTTAAAACCAGACTAGTCTTAACGGGTAAATTTTGTTCTGGAATTCCTGGTTGTCAGTTGAGTAACGGACGTTTGGATTACTAAAAAGCATCCATCTCTTTTTTATTTCTTGCTATTGAGATTTCAGACCCAGTTTAATAACAAACATAACATTTGGTTTTATAGGTTTCTGCTAACTACCTCTAAAATTTGAAGAACTTTTCTACTATTAGCTATAGTCTTTGTCAAAGTATTTTTCTTGAACGTTTTGTTTCCAATCATTCTTTTCTTGCTTGTACAGCTCACCTTAGTTAATTCAGATGGTGAAGTCACATGTAGTTAAGTTTATCTTCAGTGGTCTAGTTTACCGAATATCTAGAGAAAAATATAATCTCTCGAACAGTTTTTCTTAACTAATTTTTAAAATGAAATGGTTCATTTAACTATCTTTGATTTAAAATTCATTTTCTTGAGTATGTGTTTAAATTATTAAATGGTTAAGAAGTTTTATATCGGCCAATTGACTAAATTTTAAATTGATTTATTGAGTTCCATAATTTGACAGCCACAACATCAACGATTGCTTTATTTACAAAGTTGAAAATGCCATAGTCATGTTACACAGGTAGTAGTTGTTACCCTTAAGCTTAAGCTCGAATTTTTTATTTCCCTGTTACATGATATAAACAGGCGTTTAGAATGATTTCGAACATAATTAAGTTTTTAGAATAAATAGAACGATGATCGAGACTTACACGAGTGTTGGTAATTTTATTCTGTAAGTAACATGGTCTCCAAATAAATGTCAAGTTCGATTCTCATGAAATACGGAAAAATGACAGGTTTTTCCCACCTTTTTCCCAAGATGAATACTGATTTATATGATATCTGCGTTGGTTTTCTGATTACAGGAAAATTTGGTGAGATCTGACAGTTTACTGTGTATTATAACAGGTAATTATCCAAATGCAGTTATGAAAGATAGTTTTTTACCAACGTTAGTAAGTGTAGAAAATGCTCGTAATGACAAAAATTGGTTTGATTCAGTATTTTTGGGAGCCTTAAGTATATTCTGAGTACAGTTGTAATTCTAAGGCTGTGTTTGTCTGCATTAACAACTTAAAACTGCGATATTTTAAGTAGATTGGTCTAAATTTGGTTTGAAGATCATAGTTTTAAGTTTGTAAGCTACCTAATGCGATTTAAAAGTGTTCTTAGTTTATGTTTGAAATATTTGTAGAATGTTTTGGGTTATACCGATGGAGAACTGATTTTTCTTCTTAACCTGGACACTACTTAGACTTGGTTGCTAGAAAAGCTATGCAAATAGCATTAAGCTTACAAAATTGACAATTTCCTAAGAATGAAACCCAGCCATGAAAGTAAAATGCAATATTTTATTGTGATATATTGTATTCATATCAGACCACCATGGTGGTCTAGCTTCAACTGACTCATGATCTTAACCATTGAAATATATTTTATTATTGAATTAAAATGACAAGTGACATGTCCAGAATTCTATTAACCTTTCTATCACTAATAAATGTAATTAGCATTGATTGCTGATTAAGTAAAATCGGTAAATTAATTAATGCAGTTGGGATATTTGATATTTAACAAAAGTAATCAATCATTATGCCTAGTTGAATAGGAGTAGGTTTTAGAAAGGCTAAGGGTAATTAGACCGGATGTTAATGATTGGTGAACACATTTACTGTTAGTTATCATCATTTCAGAATGTATCAACTCACTATTTGAGGTCCATGAAGTAATTTTTTGATCAAGATTGACCGCACCAATCAAGATTTATTAATTCTTTATTTTTCATTTGAAAACAGTATAATTGTCCATTGTTCGCTATTCATTTTGCGTCATTTACATGTTTCTAGATTTCAATTTACTGTCGGTATTATCATTTTTTCTTCCATACTTTTCTTGTTATTGTCTTCTCCTTATGCTAATGTGAAGTAAGGGAAGTTGAACTATTGTGAACTTTTATAAAGTCCTGATTTACTTTTAATTTTCTTTATCCAATTTTGTTTGAATGTACATTATCCTCTGAATATGTTGTGTTCTAAAATTTCGATGTTAGTTATCTTTCAGTATGTGAACCATACATTATGATGATTTTTAATATGCATGCAGTTATCTTACGATTATTATTGTTGTATCTCACAGGTTGTATCTGTTTGACAGTTTCATCAAATGGGAAAGTATCCGTCATTGATCTACCTTATGTTTCGGGAGAATGGTATTGGAAACTGCGTTTCTTTTATCCAGTCAGTAAAAGCGTGAGCATCTGTTTTTTAAAATGATACCATCAAAATTATTTAATTGTAAATGTAGGTGGATGGAAATGTTGGTGAACTACAGAATTATACGTTTATTCCGAAGACAACCTCATCTAATGTACATACAAACGAAACTATAAAATCAGATAACCAACTAATTAGTATTAATTTGGTTATGTCCACTGAAGGTTCCAAACTACAGAAATGTGTTTTGTTGTTAACAGTAGAGCAGGATGAGGAATACTTTGCATGGACAAATATGACATTAATATATCAGTTTGCTGAGCCTTTATCCACTTTATCACAATCTGAATCACCTATTTCCGAAGCCAAAAGTATGTATCGAACAGTTAAATTGAACACGAGATTTACTTAACCGATTCCTTTATTTTTCACAAATATAGTTTCCACTTCGTCTGATCAAAAATTTTTAACTCGTACTGATGAAGTGTATATGTGTGATACAGAAATACCAATTAAATTTGGTCAGAATGTTGAGATTGTCTTTAGTTCAATGACATTTCAAGCATTTAAAGCTGAAGAAACAATTAGACCAGATCGTAAGGATACTGTTATTGTTGTTATACGTCATTCAATTATATTCTAATTTTTTCTAGGCTTACGAGAAGTTTGTCCACGTGACTTCAAGAGTAATATACCAATTACAGCGTTGACTGGCGTTTCATTGCTTGTTGTGGTAGTACTTATTGTTTCAGTATTTGGAATAAATGCTTATTTGGCTCATCGTAAACGGAAGCAGCACTAAACGAATTTGTTTTATTTATTGTACATGAGTAACTTATCTAAGTAAATAAAGGTTTATTGTATCGTCTACAGAATCCTTATAAGATTCACTGCTTTTCAAACATTGGACTTTTATGCACGTTGTCTACAGTTATGCTGTCGAGCTTCACTGTTGTTAATAAACTTACTCTACGCAGTGCTCTTTATTTGTGATTAGCAGTTTTAGTTCTTAATTTTTCATGTCTTAGTGCATGTACATGATCTTCAATGTTTATTGCACATTAATTTGTTGTAACAAAAATGTTCCCTTATTTTCTTTCTCTCTCTCTCTCTATATATATATGTATATATATATATATATATATATATATATATATATATATATATATATATATATATATATACATAATTAAAAAAATAAAAGGTATAAGATGAAGTAAATGAATGACTATGAATAGAATAAAATATTTTTATAGATTAATACTTTTGATCTTTTTTTTTACGAAAAATCAAACTTCTGTCAAGTTCCATTATTTATATCCATGTGAATTATTATTGTTAAAGTTGTTAGTATCTATGTGATTGTAAGCTTGTAATAAACTTGTTAAATGAATTATATTACAGTAATAATATAATTTATTAAAATAATAATTCAATAAACATTTGATTTTTAGAAAAAAGTTGTATAGTCTACTAAAGGTTCAGTGGTTGTACTTCGAATTGCTATCAAAGAGTATTGTATTACACTGGCCAATATAAACTGACATTTATAAACCTTTAAATGAATGCACATAAATATTATTGTTTTTTTAAAAATAATTTTGTTAGTGTTAGTATTCTTTATTGTTATTTTTGCGTATCAATGATTACAGAATGATACTTTATCGTTATTAACTTCCTTTCTTCTAACATAATGTCTGTTCGCGCCTAATACTGCATAAATGGTTTATGGACTAAAATAGTTCAGTTTTACCAAATAATTCTCAAGTTCGAACCCTGCTCCATCTTTTTTAACTTAAACAAGCGAGTAATGTCACAGGCGGTCATAAAAATGGTATGGTTCAAAATGGATTACATATTTTCTATAAAAGAATTGCTTTTCAGTGCATTATTCTCATGGAGTGTAGGACTTTTGAGGCTATCTATTTTCATTTCACTTGAATATATATTGCAGTACGGAGACTATCATTTAACGAAAAAGACTATTACTCTGTTGAGTATGATGAAATAAAAAATATTTTTTTGGAAAATATTGCCAACTAATTATTAGTGTCCTTATGGGCTACAAAGTTTGTTCACCATTGAGAATAATAATTCGATATTTGGTTTAACCTATGTATTAGTAGAAATACGAAATCTTATATTTGATTAATGTGAAATTTCAGATAGTTTCATTTCATATAACAAATTTTCTTTGAAGATATCTGTGAACATAACTAAAAAAATTAGTGTTTCATTGTCATGTGGAGGAGATGAATTTACAAATGGAACCCAGTTAAATTTATATATTTTACAAATCTTTGATCAAGTTACTGGCTATGTGATATATGTGTGATTAACAGAAGAACTTGACAGATTATAATGCTCTGTCTACATATGTGTCAGTGATAGATTTATGAAATTGAATCCAAATTTCAGTGCAAATGTTTTGTTCGACTGTTTTTTTCAGCACGCAAAAAAATTCAAGGTTTAAAAGTTTTAGTTTTACTATATTATTATAAAATGAGTTAGTATAAAATTACTGGCATAATACGCATTTCTATTTTGAATTTTTTCGTTTTGATAATCTACTGTCATATCTGAAAGTAGTCTTTTTAATTTAAAAAAAACTAGGTATAAGATGGTAAGTATATTTGGAACTTCAAGCTAATAGACAGTTGTCGTGTGTAGTGTATCGCTATTACCATAATATAGTTGTGAATGTTAAAGTGTAGCTGATTAAGTCAGCGATTTCTAATTTTCATTGAAAAGTCGTTAAAATAAAATGGTTTCCCTTTCTTTTTTGTTATAGTTGTTTTGTTAATGATCGTTTACAAAGTTAATAACCTAAATCATAAAAGGTTTTGATGATAGTTCCGTATTTATTTTAAACCATTTTAGGTGATCTTTACCGTCTACTGCTTTAGTCTAACTCTTCAAATGAAAAAAATCAGCACATTGAATTCATGTATCATTTAGCCAGGTCCTAAATAGTATTTTTGTTCATCGTTATGCCACTTTATTGAAAATTAGGTTTGGACAAAAAATTTTCTACAAAATGTTTTGCTTTATCAACTTTTTATCAAACAGTGCTTCCAGGTTTTTCAAGGTGGTCTAGCTTTAATTGACTCATGAACTCAACTATTAAGTAGTTTTCTCTCTATAGTGAAGTGAACTATGTATCAGTTAAGGTAATTCATTAACGGATTCGATTAGATTACGTAATTTCCTATTCGTTTCAACTATAGTATAAAATGAATAACTAGCGTTACTCATAGTTACTTATGACTTATTGAGATTAAGCTGAAGTTTTCGGATGTTAATTATTAGTGAATATGTGAAAAATCAGTTGAATTTGTATATTTTTGGTCACCGGCTGGTATTATTTGCGTTATCATGAGAAACATTGCAATCACCATTATATATTACGAACTAATTGGAGTTAGATATATGGAATATCATATCTGACTTCCTAGTGTAAAGATGATCCACTCGTTTTAAGGTCTGAATGTTCTTAGGTTCTTTAACATACACTGTGGTGATTCGTCGGTCTAGAGGTGCCTCATTTTCTTTATTTTTCTGGTAGTTATCAGTTCATGACAAATTTATTTTAGAGATAATTTTTAGCCTAAATATCTATACTTGCCTTAACTGTATATCCAAATCTTCAGTGTAACGGACTGAACTTTATGTATTACAATATTTAGTATTTTGGCATTATTTATGAGATAAATCAGCTAACAAATGAGGTATAATTATTCTTTAATCAAAATTATGTATTTTTAGCCATTGTCGTAATTTTGATGTTTATAGATGAATCTTGTTATTTTCATTTGATGAAGACGATAACTTTTGTCTTATTTTTATTTACTTAACATTTTATGGTGGGTATTTTTGGATAAGAATCTAATGAGAACTTTTTATATGTTGTATCCACAAGAGTTTTTTTTACTCTTAATTGACTTTTGAGTAGTCTGTAATTTTTTGTGGCTAAAAACATAACTGATGATATCAATATTTAGTGTTCGTAATCGGTCTACTGCAATTAATCCACACTGTTATGTTATAACACTTATCTTCGACTTAATATGAATTTATCATTTACTTGATATTTAAACAAGAGTTAATTATTCTGATTGAGGATGAGTTTCATTAAGCATGTAGACTATTCTGAAAACGTACGATATTAGGTTGGAAAAGCGCTTTAATCAAATTTGCCAATTCGAAAATTTGCTTGTCTATGGATAGTAGATATTTCAAATTTACTTCCCTTACTTCACTTAGAGTTAGCTTTGGAATGCTTGTTCGAACAGTAATTAGCCTTTAGTGCATATATTGATTTCCTCACGTGGACAATTTTTTGGGATTTTATCACACCGGGTCACATAATCTAGAAGCTATTCATAGAGAAGAATTGTTTCTACCATCATATTTTGATGAATAAATGCACAATGATTAGTGTCACGTTATTAATGTTCAGTCGTAATCGAGAGAAAGCCTAATGACAATGAATTCGAAGAATAAGCAATATATTGTTTAATCTTTTTATAAATAGTTTATTTTTCACTTACTCAGTTAAATCAACACTTCAGTATCAACAAGAGTTGGAGAATAATGAACAAAATACTGCAAAAGATTCAGAATCTTTTAATTCAGTTAATGTAACTGAGTGTATTGAATTGAAGGATGCTAATTTGAACTTCAATAATCAACAAAGTGGAACAATAAATTCAAGTTCAATAAGTTCACATTTACCACCATTAAATAGAATTACCGTTATCTCTCAAGATGATTTTCATCATTTATGTGCTCTTCTGGAGTTTCGCGGTTATTTTCTGATTACATATACAAACAATCGTTCAAAAGAGGTAAGTTTTATTTTTGTATAGCTTAACTGAAAATTATTTAAAGTATAGTTTCATGAGTATTTAGTTTTATCGTCTTCAAGGTTTCTGTTATTCTGTACTTCTATGTTTATTCTGAAAATATGGCGCTTGTAACTTAAAAATCATATTTCATTTCCACTTACGAATCATAACCATTAACTTCAAGTTTAAAGAAGGTATATATGTGATATATGGTAACGAATTTAAGATGTGATTGGTCACTGAGCGTGGAAAAACAGGCTCAAAAGGAAATAAGACGAAGCATAGTAGAGTTAACTTGATAGAAGAAAGACAACACTCAACTGACATCACAAGAACAAAAAGCCTCAAAGAAAATAAAAACTAGAGATATTGTCATAGTTCTAGGGGACAAACGACTCACTACAGTAATTGTGGACAAAGAAGAATGTATCAGGAAAGCCGAGGATTTGCTTGAGGATAAAACGTGTATAAATTAATGAACACAAATCCAATCAAAAGGTTAGACAAGCAAATTTCAAGGACTTAGACAAGCTTATAAAAGGATGACAAATATCAAGTCAAAATCAATGGAAAGTAAAATCCAGTAAACCAGTACTCCCTCGATTCTACGGTAGTTCGAAAATACACAAACCAAACATTTTACTATGTCCAACTGTATCATTCCCATACAACATACAATTTATCGAGAGAAATTTGAAGAATATTGAAACATTTAGTGGATTCATTCAATCAGTCCATCAAATCTATCATACAGTTCTTGTATAAGGTTAATGAGATTCAAATCAAAAACGATGAATTGATGATATCCTTCGATGTAATAGTCCTATTCATTTCAATTAAACCAAACTTAGGAAAAGAAACTCCATCCCTGCTCCTTGCCAACGACACATATCTTCCAAAGCACACAAAACTTCAAAGTCAACGTTTATTAGAACTCGTCGACTTATGCTTAACAACATACTTTCAATTCAACAACAAAATCTACGAACAAACAAAAGGAGCACCGATGGAATCACTAATATCAGGACTTATTGCGGAAGCAGCAATGCAAAGACTGAAAGCCTCGATCTAACCAGTGATCAAGCCGAAAATGTGAATTCTTTATGTGGACGACGCATCATCATCAAAAAAGACGAACTGTAAGACACTTACAATCTAATCTGAGCAACAACTCAAGAACTCACAAACTGGTTTGTGTACAACACTTATTCAGGAGGGTGAGATTACACTGCAGCACACCTGCAGTGCGGGAAAATAAAGGAAAATATCTAGTGACTATCTTTCAAAAGAACGCCTACTCATTCGAATTCACCAAAAAAGTATCAACTCAACTCATCAGCAGAAACGAAGTCAAGTACAGAAAACAGCCAGCGGATCATCCTATCATACATAAAAGACATGTCAGAAATTACGAGATAATTGAAGCCGTTTGGAATAGGTGTTGCATACAAACTAGCGAAATCACTTCAATTAATTCTATGTAAACCAAAGGATGATATGATAAAAGAAGGAAAACCGAACATCACCTATAAAATAAACTGTTACGACTAAGAAAAATACTATATTGGATAAAATGGGCGCCCACTTCATCTTCTCCTGCACGAAAATCGATCAGCGGTCAAAAGACATGGCATATCTTCCCTCATATCAGTGCATGTGAGCAACTATGGACACGCTTTTGACTGGGAAAATGTTGAGATTTTGGATAGAGGGAATACTGAGAACATCAGGGAATTTTTAGAAGCTTGGTACTCTGGTGAATCAACAATCAACAAACACATTGGAATCGATCCAATCTATCAACCAATCAAAAAACACGCACAAATATAGTACTGCGGATCAAATCAAAGAGCGATATAATCAAAATAAAGTTAGGCAATGATAGGTTAAAGGTCAACAATAACCAATCAACATCAAGGTTGACAGGACAAGCCGTGAGTCAGATGTGGAGAAATTCGAACATTTCACTTCTACCTGATGCTTGTGCTGATGATTTTGTTCAGAAGAGCAATGAAAGCTCACCTACCAAACCATCCAGCTCAGATAACAAGACTGCCTTACGTACAGCCTACGGACTATTGACTATGTGATTTCCTTTCCCCTCATTGGTTTCTACTCTGGACTTACTGAGTGCTACTGTTTGTGATTTTGTGGAATAAAGTATTATCTAGTGTTAATCTGGTCCTCTATTCTGGGTCATGAATCATGAATCTAATATAACTTAACTAGTCTCACTATCACCGGAGTCAAATAAGGCTGTCTACTCCCCCTCTTCCTCTTTCTTTTGGTGGTTAACTGGATTATGAAGACCTCCACATCTAAGAGAAAGCACGGAATACAATGGGCAGCTCAGATCGAGTTAGACGATTTGGACTTCGCAGATGACCTATCCCTCCTATCCCATACACACGAACAAATTCAGATGAAGACAACTTGTGTAGCAGCAATCTCTTCATCAATAAACCTCAACATACACAAAGGAAAAAGCAAGATCCTCAAATATAACACAAAGAACACCAACCCAATCACACTTAATGGCGAAACTCTGGAAGATATGGAATCTTTCACATACCTGGGAAGAGTCATCGATGAACGTGGAGGATGCGATGCAGACGTGAAAGGGAGGATTGGCAAAGCAAGGGAGAACTTCCTACAACTGAAGAACATATGGAACTCAAAACAACTGTCAACCAATATCAAAGTGAGAATCTTCAATACCAACGTCAAGGCAGTTCTACTGTATGGAGCTGAAACTTGGAGAGCTACTACAACCATTATCAAGAAGACACAAGTATTTATAAATAGTTGTCTATGCAAAATACTCAACATCCATTGGCCGAATACCATCAACAACAGCATTTTGTGGGAGAGAACAAACCAGCTTCCAGCTGAAGAGGAAATTAGGAAAAAAACGTTGAAGGTATATAGGAAATACATTGAGAAAACCACCAAACTGCATCACGAGACAAGCGCTAACTTGGAATCCTGAAAGGAAGTAGAAAAGAGGAAGACCAAAGAACACATTATACCGAGAAATAAAATCAGATATGAAAAGGATGAATAACAAGTGGAAAGAGCTGGAAAGGATTGCTCAGGACAGGGTTGGATGGAGAGTGCTGATGGGCGGCCCATGCTCCTCCACGAGGAGTATCAGGTGTAGATAAGTAAGTAAGTATGTTTCACTATCATATTAACATATCGCTGTATACATTGTGCTGGGGAGATCCAGAAAATTCCTCGAAAAAAGTCAAAAAGGTTCTGAAGACTCTGAGAAACATCTTATCCAATCAACATCTAGTAGAAGTTTTGCCAGAAACATCTAGAAGGTGACAAGTCACATTTCACGTTTCTGATTGGATGATTAGCTATGCTGTTACTATGTTTAGTAATGTTCCAGAAATTTCCGGAAGCTCAAGGCCATCTAATATATTATAGATACCTTAGATTTTCTGTACACAAACGAATTTTGGAGTGAGATGTTCTTTCCATATTTCGCGCCTTTTCTCTCGTGTTCAAGTTGCTGTGTAGATTAGCCTGAGGGGGGTACTAGAGGGCTTAGAAAACAGAATCTAGAGTTCAATTAGAAGAATTACCAACCTGAGAGAGAAAAATATATTTCAAACCATCCGTTTTGTAAACATTAATTTGACCTCTACATAATATAAAGATCCATTATTATGTTTTCTAATCAACATTTCTTCTATGATTTCAGAACCACTTAACAATTCTTATGGTGATGATTATTGTTACATTTGTCACTTATTGTGTCTGAGATATGTTTATTGAACTTGTGCTTGGCACTGAAACCCACCGAATCCGATGGTGCGTAGTGGAAACAAAGAACTGCTAATACGGATTTATTTGACTCCCAAAATAAGTCAAAATGATCTATAAATACACCAATTTTTAGATGATTTATTTACATTAGTATTGACAGTACTGATCTGAGCAGTAGTTAACGTCAATTAATCAATAACTATCTGGGTGAAAACTTTTAGAATATCATACAATTAGGCATATATCATTATCACATAACTAAGTCATATCATTACTCCTCAAAACGTGATTACATGTTATGGACAATTATTCACAAATAATTTCACATCTCATTCACGCTCCAGTCATTGCTCGCTATGCCAGTTATCTGACTGAATAAATAATTCCACAGTAGAAATCACAAGTTGATCTACGCTAGACCACTATCCCGAATACAGGACTCGAACCCGGGGCCTTCGGTTTCGCGTGTGGATACCACTGAGCTGGTATCCATCAGTGTTAATATTTAACTTCAATTGATGTATGATCTTGTGCAACCCGTCATCCATTGTGGGAGATCGTGAGAACCCACCGCTGAGGAATCCCATGCTGGGACGAAATGGTCATCCAGTGCTTCCAGATTTTCAGTAGTGGTCTAGCTTAGATTGACTCATGAATTCTACCGTGAAAAGACTGTAATCTCCACAAATCCACCTTTAACAATACCCAATCGATTTCTCATGCTATATTCTGTGACTGGAGGAAATAAAGCTTGCTGCTCAACGATTTGTAGTAGTTAATTATCTAGCGGAGGCAGTAAAGTTACCAGTATTATAACTCCCTGTTATTTCACGTACTAGATGCTACACTCATAATGGATGTGAAAAGTTTCATATCGCCTTCCATGTATCCACTTTTGAGGGAAACGTAGAGGCTGTTTATTTAAGTTAACACTATCTAATTACTGTAAGGTTGTAGTAAAATAGAAACAAGTGATTGATTGTACGTTATGTCAGAGTTATGAATTTTGATAAGTGAGAGGTTTAGCCTGGATGTGGAGCCAAGGGCGGAAGCATTCATTTGTTCATAGTATGTTTTGATCTAACTTCATTAAAACAATATTCATCTTACTGATTTACCAGAATCATTTGAAATTTTGCAATGAACAGTAAGCATTGAATAGTTTAAATAAAATGTCAACTATATTTACACTTTATTTGAAAATGAGTTTTTATTGACCTGGCTTATTACATTGACGTTAGCACATAATTTTTATGAACTGAACAACGTAGCTAGTGGTGGTTTTTTCATTCAGTTTCATGCTAAAATAATATCAGTATTTCACACTCAATGCACTTTTTGTTTGGCACTAATATGCATTCACAATTGACTGATCACTGGGTGGTGATCAATGTCATGCGTGTCTAGTCCTTATTAATGCAGATCGGACGCTATTGATCATGTTGCAATGTGGCCACCAAGGAGCACCTGTTCTCTCAAGATTACAGTACATTTTGCTGACGAGTGACAAGTAGCACGAAACCCGGGTCCAGGGTTTCCTGTTGAATACCTCCAACCACCATCTAAAAACTAATATGCACCCTTTTATAAAAACTAATAATATTATTACCACGAAATATTTGACTTTTGGTTTTTAATGTTTTAGACAGCTTGTTATCGAATTCCTATCGATTTGACGGAAAAATATTCTTCGAAAGATGAGATTTCTTACATTTCGGAAAAATCTTTTTTGATGAATCATAACAACACAAACAGCAATATATCGGATGATAACAGTAATAACAAATCAAAAATGCCATATGTTGAGCCAGATAATTTGATAATAGTAACAACGAATTCATCATGCTGTGACAATTTTCTTCGATGTTTCTCTCTTCCACTCAATTCTAGTGGAAATGAGAACAGTTTGATAAGAGATTGGACAATTGATTTTTACTGGAACCGTACACCAGAAATGTATGAGTTTGGTGAAGAAGGTTGGAGTAGTGTTGGTTCACCTGTTGGCGCATTGTCAGGTGTTTATGATCTGGTTGATGTGAAACTAAAGTATCGTTTTGATAAAAATTCTGGATTTGACTTTCTAATAAGTGGCAACGGTATGTTTAGAGGTTACTTCGTTTTATTAAACCATACTATTCCCTGCAATGAAAAGGTTTACGTTTTGTTTTGCTTAAACTCACCTTAAGAAAACAGTTGTCAAATAAATGCCTTTTAGTTGTGAGTGGTTGTTAGTTATTGGAAGAGTCTTGAGGCTCGAATTCCTTTTTTCTTGGTCCTCATTAGCAAGTCACACCAATGATCTTTTACTCGCTTAGTAGATACAAGCCTACATCACATAGTAGCGCAGTAACAAATGTCATGATCAATCTGCTTGAAATATGTTACAACTCCGGTAAAACTAAAATATCTACGTTAATCGTTTGTTGATCGGCAACCGATCCAGCGATATCTGCTTTATAACTGATCTAGAATGGTACATTGAAAATCACAAAGTGATTGGTTGATAACTAACGATTATTGGGACTATTTGGGATTAGCAGTTAGTATTTTATACCTCTTAAATGCATCTGATTTGTTGGAAGAGAGCCAATTTCTTCAAACCAAATCCTTGAAATTCTGTGATGCTGAGATCTAAGGTAGTGACTATTTTTAATGTAAAAATATCTGTTGTTCCATCGTTTATACTAACTTACGTAATTAATTATTTGAATTTTATATAAGATAATCGATAATTACATTTTTTTTGTTAAGCAGTTTCTAGTTCTCTATTGTAGCTGAATTTATTTTGTAGGTGCTACCATGTGAATACGTTTTGTAGATAAGATAATAATAACTTATTAACTTATTTTCATTCTGCATGCTTTTTTTGTTGTTTTTTCGCCTCTGTGTGTATAAAAATACCGTTTCTACTCTAAAGAAAATATTTTTGAAGTAGAAGTATTATTGATGATGATGATGATGAGGATAACGAATAAATTTTACTTTGGATCAACGCATTAAATTAGTATAATCTTAGAGAAACAAAAAAAAATCGACTTGAAGATTCCATGAAGTAATTATTTATGTTTCGTCTCAACGTTTATTTAATTTCTGCAAATGTTTCCAAAGCAAATAACTATCTTACTACTCTGAGTCGTGAAAGATTTTGTGTTAGAATGTTTTCGCTTGGTGACTATCAGTATCTGATAATTATTATAAGCAAACGGGTACTAGAAATTATTATACTACTTCGTCTATGCAGGCTACACTCCTTTAAGCTAAGTAGCCGTGAATATTGAATTTAACGTTTAATCAGTGAGATAGCATCAATTCTTATTCAGTGGGGTTAGAAAGGAATCACATTATCTATCTCTTTGCTTTTGTTAATAAACTGTAGAACTGACGAGTAAGCAAGTCTTTGAAAATTTATTATTTTTATGATCAAATTGATTTTTACTTTTATTTGGTTAGTTGCTTTCTCCTCCAGTATGGTATATTTTTATACGTCTTCAACTTCATTGTTATTACTAAATAAACAGAATTCTCCTAGGGATAGAAAAGCTCTCCAACCAAAACCTCTATTTTCTAATATTCCAGTATTCGGGAAATTACAGTTTTAGTGTTGTTAAATAGCAAACGCAACTGGTAGAAGCAAATAAATGGAGGAAATTTTGTTCCAGTCACCATTAACTAGGACTTAACAAGTGGACATTGTTATATGCATATTGTACTTCGAAATTGCTTGAGGTGACTAACCCTTTGACATTTGTAGATAGACGAGTACAAATTTAATGATTCTCTTCATTGAAAAACTGAGTGTATTTTTGAGACAAACACTACATAAAATGCACAGACCTTAGTTTTGGAAATAGTATTTTCAGAGTACGTTTTTTCACATCAGCGGTTAAAAATAAAATTTCTCTATCATTTATAGATGGTCCAGGTGAACGAAAGAATGTTTTATTAAATTAAAAAATGATATTTATACAACAATACCACTAATTCTGAATTTTTAGACAAATCTTCCAATGAGAAAAGTGGGATGTTGAATGAAATCCACTATATAAAAAGAACAACCAGAAAGCTTAACGAAAAAATATTCATTTTCTTTCAACTTTATTAAAATCACAATTGTCTTAGTTTCAATTTTGTGTCCATAATAATTTGATTATAATAATCAAAATGAATAGAGATTGAAGGTGGTTAGCAGTAGTATTCAGGACATCGTTAGATTCTACTTAGAACTTTTCGGTTGAATGTCCCTGCATCCGATATAACAACTTTAAATACCATCGAGCCAACTATCTACTTAGCTACTGGAATCAGTAGCTGGTTCGAGTCCCAGAGTGAACATCAACTCTGAGATTCAGGTAGGCACAGTTGACGAGTCTGAATAGAACGAAACATCCATTCTGAATTCCACTGCTTAGAATTGCTTGTGACCTAATGGTAATATTGAGGTTGTATGCTTACTTACTTACTTACACCTGTTACTCCTCGTGGGGGAACATAGGCCGCTCACCATCATTCTCTATCCAACCCTGTCCCAAGAATCCTTTCCAGCTCCTTCCAGTTGTTATTCATCCTTTCCATATGTGCTTTTATTTCCCGACGTAATGTGTTCTCTGGCCTTCCTCTTTTCCGTTTTCCTTCAGGATCCCAGGTTAGGGCTTGTCTCAAGATGCAGTTTGACGATTTGCGTAGTGTATGTCCTATCCATTTTCATCGTCTTTTCCTAATTTCCTCTTCAGCTGGAAGCTGGTTTGTTCTCTCCCACAAAAGGCTGTTGCTGATGGCATCCGGCCAATGCATGTTGAGTATCTTGCGTAGACAGCTATTTATAAATACTTGCACCTTCTTGATAGTGGTTGTTGTAGTTCTCCAAGTTTCAGCTCCATACAGTAGAACTGCCTTGACGTTGGTATTGAAGATTCTCATTTTGATATTGGTTGACAGTTGTTTTGAGTTCCATATGTTCTTTAATTGTAAGAATGCGACCCTTGCTTTGCCAATCCTCGCCTTTACGTTTGCATCTGAACCTCCTTGTTTATCGATGATGCTTCCTAGGTATGTGAAGGATTCTACATCTTCCAGAGTTTCGCCGTCAAGAGTGATTGAATTACTGTTCTCCGCTTTGAATTTGAGGACCTTGGTTTTCCTCTTGTGTATGTTGAGGCCTACTGATACAGAGATTGCTGCTACACAAGTTGTCTTCATCTGCATTTGTTCATGTGTATGGGTTAGGAGGGCTAGGTCATCTGCGAAGTCCAAATCGTCTAATTGATTCTGAGCTGTCCATAGTATTCCGTGTTTTCCTTCAGATGTTGAGGTCCTCATAGTGTAGTCGACCACCAGAAGAAAGAGGAAGAGAGAGAGTAAACAGCCGTGTCTGACTTTGGTCCTTACTTGGAATGCATCTGTCAGCTGTCCTCCATGCACGACCTTGCACTGTAGTCCGTCGTATGAGTTCCGGATAATATTGACAATCTTCTCAGGAACTCCGTAGTGTCGAAGAAGTTTCCATAGCGTCCTCCTGTCTACACTGTCAAATCCCTTTTCACAGACAATGAAGTTGATGTATAGTGACGAGTTCCACCCAATTGATTGTTCGACGATGATCCGTAGTGTCACAATTTGGTCTGTGCACGACCAATCTCTACGGAATCCAGCTTGTTGATCTCAAAGTTGGGCGTCTACTGCATCTTTCATCCGGTTCAGTAAAACTCTGTTAAAGACTTTCCCTGGTATTGACAGTAGTGCGATGCTTCTGTAGTTTCCACATTTGCTCAGGTCTGCTTTCTTTGGAATATTGATGAGGCGTCCTTCTTTCCAGTCCATCGGCACTTGTTCTTCGTCTCAAATCTTTTAGAATAGAAGGTAAGGCGTGCTTGTAGTTACTTCGATGTCTGACTTCAGTGCTTCAGCTGGTATGTTGTCGGGTCCTGCTGCTTTCCCGCTCTTGATTTGTCTGATGGCCATTCTGATTTCTTCTGTCGTTGGTGGGTTGACGTCTATAGCAAGATCTGTGTGTGCTGCTTCAATGTCTGGTGGATTCATTGGAGCCGGCTAATTCAGGAGTTCCTCGAAGCACTTCACCCATCTGTTCCGCTGTTGTTGAATTTCAGTGATTGGCCTGACTTCTTTGTCTTTGACCGTTCTCTCTGGTTTACTGTATTTCTCTGCTAGTTTCTTCATTGTATCGGAAAGTTGTTTCATATTTCCTTCCCTTGCAGCTTTTTCCGCCGTCGTTGATAGTTCTTCCACGTATTTCTTCTTGTCGGCTCTAATGCTTTTCTTCACATGCTTGTTTGCTTCTCTGTATTCAGCTTGTGCTTGGACTTTCTCTGCTCGTGTTCTGCTGTTGTTAATTGCTGTCTTCTTCTTCTTCCTTTCTTTGATCTTGTCCAGAGTTTCTATAGAGACTCACTCCTTATGATGGTGTTTCTCCAGGCCCAGAACCTCATGACATGTTGAAGTTAATGCTTCTTTGATGCCTTTCCAGTTGTCCTCCATAGTAGTTTCTTCTTTCTTCAGTAGATGTTGAAAGGCTTGGAACCAGTTGTTGAGAGCTAACTTGAGTTTTAAATTGGCTACAAATAGGTGGTGATCTGAAGCTATGTCAGCACCTCTCCTGGTTCTCACATCTTCCATTGCCCTTCGAGACTTTTTATTGGTCCAAATATGATTTATCTGGTTCTCTGTAGTGTGGTCCGGTGAGATCCATGTAGCCTTGTGTATACGTTTGTGTGGAAATATTGTGACTCCTATTACCAATTTGTTGAATGCACACAGATTTGCAAATCTTTCTCCATTTTCGTTTCTCTCACCTAGTCCATGTCGTCCCATGATATCTTCATTTCCGGTGTTGTCTGTTCCAACTTTGGCATTCAGATCTCCCATCAGAATGGTGAGGTCGTTTCTTGGGTATTTCTCTATGATTGACTGCAGCCGCTCGTAGAATCGATCTTTAGTGTCGTAGTTGCTATCATTGGTGGGTGCATAACATTGAATAATATTCATTGTGATCCCCTCCTTGTTTGTTTTGAATGATGCTTTGATGATTCTGTATCCGTGAGATTCCCATCCTATAAGTGCATTTTGCGCTACTTTGGACAAT